TCTTATGCCCTGAACTTGAGAACTAATTCGTTATTTGTAATTCATGGATCACATGAGAAGCACGTATAGAAAGGCCGAAACAGCTCAAGAATGAAGTCGATTTCATCCTCAGTAATATGAAAATTGCAGTGCAGAAGGTAATTGAGTTGAATAGCCTCAATGCAGTGAGCGATCATAGGCTCGTCAGATTTAAACAGCACCCGGATTCAACTTTAGAGAGAAGAACGTTGCTAAGGAAGGGATGTCAGATACTCGAGGATATGGAAGCAATGAAGAAAAAACACCCGCTGTTCCAACTCAGTTAAATAACCGACTCAATGTCTTTCAGGGAATGCAAGAAGAAGAAGAAGCAGGATGCAATGAAGGCAGATTAAACATCGGCGGAAAACACTGTCTGGCCAAGGCTCATGATAGTTAACTAAAAAGTCACGAAGCAAACGACAAACCTCATCAAGAAACAAAAACAGAAACAGATCCGAAATCCGAGATCTAATATATGGAATTTTGCAAACCATTAAGGAAGCAGATAAAAGGAAACGTACAAGCAATCAACTATAGATTGGTTTAAGAAACTGCTGAAAACAATGAAGCATAAAGAAACTGAATCGTCGATTAACCGACCGGGAAAGTGCAAATTTTAGCTCTCAAAGCATAAAATGAAACTGTCATCAGGGGGATTAAAGATTTTTAAACAAGGGGAAATTTCCTATTGAAATATGCACAAAGCTGAGTACAGCAACATGCATGGGGCAATAAAGAACCTGAAGATAGAAACGAAGTCAACAGAACTCTATATATCTTGCCAGGAGTACTACATGCAATAAAACATGGTATGTGGTTCATGCAAAAAATGTATTACAGTGAAGCACTGACCAAAATATTAGTGCGTTTGTTTTTACACAGACTGAAAACCCAAAATTTCAGACGATTTGATTATCACGTCGCTGAGTATGCTCCACCAAAAGAAAGTTAAAGAAGATTGAAGAATTACACGCTGATCAGTTTGTTACCAATCATCTGTGAATTTTCATTATGGTACTGATGAACAGGAAAAATGGACGCATTAAGGTCCACGGAGCAACAAGATTCAAAAATGGATTTAGTGCGGTGGATAATTTCTAATTGATACAGCAAGATAATTATACAAACAATGAATATCAGTTTCCTCTCGGCCTGGCTTTCGTCGATTTCAAGAAGACCTTCGACTCGGTTGATTCTTCGAGAAACCGGGTAATCGAGAAAAGCTACAAAGACCTCATGGCCATCATTTAAAAGAAAGCAAATACTAGTGTAAGCTTCATGGAAGCATAGAAAAGTTCAATATCGAAAAAGGCGTTCAACAGGGAGGCGCATTGGCACCGAAATTGTTCATGACAGCCCTAGAAGAGATCTTCAAAAGTCCAGGGCCAAGTAGGACTGAAAATGAACCTAAAAAGAATTCAGGTCATGTGTAATAAATACGTGACCGCTCGACCTAATGGAATCAATTCATGCAGATTTGAAAATGTACATAGCTACATTTATTTGGGGCAGCTAATTTCGGCAATTGGGAACCGACCATGAGAAATTAACAGAAGAACACAAATTGCATGTAGCACCTTTGGAACACTGGAAAAGCTCTTGTATGAACAATTACGTTTGAGCCTAAGACGGCAAGTTCTCGATCACGGTCTCCTCACTGCTAACCTGTTTGTATGAAACCTAGGCCCTACACCTGAAAACTGCAGACTACGCAATGCAGTAATGAAAAGATGAATAAAATGAATCACGAGAAAAGGTTGTAAAACGAATGAATGGATAGGAACTCAAACTAAACTATGCGATTTCATTGTTTAAGCAAGAAAAATTAAAGTGGCAATGGGCAAGACACGTTGCAAGAACAACCGACAATCACTGAGAGGGATATTCGACTAGACCTCAAAAGAGAACAAACACTTCCAGGCCGATGGCATGATCAACTACAGAAGTTCGTTGGATGAAGATGGATGGAAATCGCAGTAAACAAAAGTCTATGGCGCAGTCTTGCAGAAGCCTTCATTCAGCAGATGGACGATAAAGGCTGATGATGCTGGTAATAGGCATGAACCAACGAGAAGTCGTACTGTACCAGAATCAGCTAGTGTACTCGAGTATGGGAAAACACATATCATTAAGAATTTCGAAAAATCAAATTCAGATAGTAAATTTCCACTCAGTTTTTCCTACATAATCATTTTTATTCGCTGCCTGGAATACGGATGACGTAATATTTTGCAAAAAGCTGATTTTGAAATAGCGTGCATTCTCATCGTGGATGCGACGACGCACTGAAGAAACAGATATGTTGTATGACATGACTCCTACAGAACACGTTTTCCGAATTGCTATGTGTTTTTCCAGCAGTGCCTATATAACAGCAGTTTAGTTAATTGCAACATTGTGCAGTCAATTTAAACGAAACAGCTTCCTAGCACATTAGTACAAAGAAACTGCTCACCGCTTTTGTCACTTGCATTTCGATCTTGGGGAGTTTCGTCTCTGCTTCAACGTCTATAAGTATGTCACAAGGTGATTATTTGAATTTACAATGATCAGCTAAAAAAATGTTTGCACAAATGTGAAAAATCAACACAGCAGTATTGAACAGCTTCAGTGTCTTGAGCACATTGTAGGTTATTCTTCACCGTAGACCTGTTTCTTTACAGAATATCCAATTACTGTTCGTGTTTTGGCTTAATTCAAACTCAAGTTAGGCACCTGAAAGATTGCCAGAAGCTTTGAATAAACTAACCGTTGAGAGATCACATCTGAATCGTAATAATCCACAACAGTGAGAAAGTGAGAAGCGAGAAACACATAAGTGAGAAACTGTAACCGCTGTAGTAAAGTAGCTTAATTATTTTAAATGAGACTGTATATCTCGACCATTCTTTACAGTAGATGTCACTTTACGTTGTGCCTTGTGATAATTTACCTATCTTAACTTCCCATGTAGTTGCATCAGCTTTTCCAAAATTCTTCCCAATCTAGTAAAGTTGAAACATAGTTAAGGTACTAGTTGATTACAATATTCAGCAAATTATTTGATAGGTGATGCTTAGTTGCTCATCAACGACTCTTACAAAAAGAAAATGATACTGATTTATTGTAAAATGACGTGTTAAATCATTTATCTCAAGTATAATCTTATAGTAAGATTAACAGCTTTGATCTCTCTTTAACTGTGGTTATTTATTCAGTGAATGAAAACATAATTCTAGAGCTGCAAAATTTATTCACCTATCGTCGGAGCTTTTCGAATCTAAAACGGAATCGACTGTATTCTAAAATATTCGCCAAATATTCCCACTAGCGATGTCCAGCACAAAATCTCATCAACAAAATCAGGTCCTTCCATCCAAATCCATTTGTTCGTTGAGAATAGTAAAATTGTAGCTCTGTTGACTATATTTCAATTGAGAATGCCATTTGAATACATTTGGAGGAACAGGCGTTCCCTACAAAACGAAAGAAACGCAAATCAGCAATGAAAGTGACGAAACGATTTAATATTAATCCTACGAGATACAATGCGATCTCTTATTAAAGCAACTGTCGTGAAGGCCCTCAGGCATAATTTTGAATCCACACTGGATAGCTGACCTGGTGACTCAAAATCACTATTTGACTGCAGGTACACTAAAAACTTTAATACTCTTCGTACTCATGAACAGTCAACATCTCCTTAATTTTCATAAAATAATCAAAAGCACATGTGACATGAATCTATCGGTAAAAAGGTGCAAAATGGTATCATGTCTTTGTGT